CATGAGTGAGAGATGTTCATTGGCGGTTTCAGTCATGGTTCGGCCCCAGTTATCTGCGTCTCCTTCACCCCTTCATGATAAACACACCCTAATAAACACTCCCCTAATGCTTGCAGTAACGTCGAAGTCCCCTGTCCCAACCTCCCCTACGACTATCTCTACGCCCACCGTTCCGACTATCGCTACACCAGCACGCCCATGCGCCTCTGAGCCTTGTGGCCTGAAGGCTCTTTGTAAACCTTTGGGCGAATACTTCGAGTGTACATGTCCGCCAGGCATGTTTGGCAATCCATATGTGGAGTGCCGATATGAATGCGTTGTAGACTCCGACTGCGCTAGAAACAGGGCTTGTGAACGGAATAAGTGCATTGACCCTTGCGAGGGTGTGTGCGGAGAAAGAGCAGAGTGCCATGTGATCATGCACAGGCCCGTGTGTACTTGTGTGCCCGGGTTTACGGGTGATGCCTACACAGCATGTAACCCTGTCAAAGTGACAAGTAAGCATGACCTACTCCTAACATTGTATTGCATGTTATATTTGATTATTCCTTGATTCCTTCATAGAACTGACAGAAAACTATATTCCCATATACTGACTACTCCTTCCAACACCAGCCGGGCTCCCACCGTCACTGCCACAACGAGAGGAACCCTGCCAGCAAACCACTTGTGGTACCCTGGCTGAGTGCCATGAGGAGGATGGACGGCCAGTGTGCCATTGCATTGAAGGTTTTGTGGGTGACCCATATGTAGCATGTCGCCCTCACTGCTCTGCGGATTCGCATTGTGCTTCTGGCCTAGCATGTGTCAATGACAAGTGCATTGACCCATGTCCAGGTACATGTGGCATCAATGCTGAATGTAGAGTGCCAAATCATGTCCCTATTTGCACTTGCCCACCTGGTTACACAGGCAGTGCCTATCAGCGTTGCTTCCCAAAACCGGGTAGGCTCACATAACATTATTCTTTAAGAACTAGATCTAATTTGTAATAACTTTCATTCAGTTTCTCTACTAGATAACTATAACATTTCAGCCTTTGAGCATGGTACATTGTAATTCTTTAGACTGATCAGTAATACTACTACTATATTTCACTGCATGACATCTGCATGTGTTTGCACATCCTTTTATAGATACATCCTCGGAGTCTGGTGAGGACCTGTGTGAAGTGTGTGGGTCTAATGCGGAGTGTCGTATAGTGGATGGCCGCCCAGTGTGCACTTGCCTACCTGGATTTCTTGGTGCACCACCAAACTGCCACCCAGAGTGTATCGTCAACCGTGACTGTTCCACAACAGAAGCATGTAATAAACAAAAATGTGTTGATCCATGCATTGGAGCTTGTGGCACGAATGCAGATTGCCGTGTCATCAATCATTCTCCTGTGTGTACCTGCCTTCCAGGTTACACTGGCGAACCATTCGTCAGGTGCAATCGTATCCCTGTTGGTAAGAACAAGAAAAGTTATTTCCCTTCTCTTTTTCAGCCTGTAATATTACACACAGGTGTGGGCAGTCTTTCAGTGTCTAAATCGATATTAATATATATGTTCTATTTACAGCCCAGCCAACTCTTGCACCTCCTGTTACGGAACGTCCTGATCCATGCCGTGAGGGAACTTGTGGTCCGAATGCCAACTGCCGTGTGCAGGGAACTCGTGGCATCTGTACCTGCATTGAAGGCTACTTTGGTAACCCGTATGTACAATGTCGCCCTGAGTGTGTCATCAACTCCCAGTGTCCACAGTACTTAGCTTGCAACAACCAGCGGTGTGTTGATCCTTGTCCAGGTACCTGTGGCATTGATGCCATCTGTGAGGTGGTCAACCACAATCCCTTGTGCTCCTGCCCTCGCAGCATGACAGGCGATCCCTTCGTTCGCTGTGAACCAAGTGAGTAATCTGAAATTTCATAAATGATGAAGCAGTAGATATATATGTATAAAATATATGTTTATTGATTACATCCAACAGATGTGAAAATGGGCTATAGTTTGGTCCAGCACGTAGCAGTCTTTACTCATGCATTCTCTTTCTCTCCCAATAGTCCGTGCTCCACCTGATCCATGCATCCCTACTCCATGTGGACCATACACCAAATGTCAAGTTGTGAAAGACAGGGCAGTGTGTTCTT